CTCCTCATATATGAAACTTAATTTTGCAGGATACAAAATTCTAGCCTGGCCATTATTCTGCTTGAGAAGAGTGAGGATGTGGCCCCAGTCCCTTCTGGCTTGTGAGGTCTCAGTTGAGAAGTCTGCCTTTGTTCTGATGGGTTTTCCTTTGTAGGTTACCTGATGCTTTTGACTTATGATTCATAGGAGTTCCTCTTTCGTGTTAGCTCCGGCCAGTCTGATGACCGCGTGTTGTGGCGATCGCCTCTTGCTGACAAATCTCCCAGGAGTCCATCACACTTTTAGTACCTGGATGTGCAGATTTCTAGCAAGACCTGGGAAATTTTCCTCGAGTATCCCCTAAATAGGTTTTCCAGCCCATGTGTATTTTCTTCTTCACCCTCAGGGATGCCTATGATTCTTATGTTAGGCCTCTGAGATTATTTCGTCTGCCTGATCTAGCCTATTCTTTTTTTTTTTTTTTTTTTTTTTTTTGGAGACAGAGTCTCACTCTGTTGCCTGAGTGAGTGCCATGGAGTCAGCCTAGCTCACAGCAACCTCCAACTCCTGGGCTCAAGCGGTCATCCTGCCTCAGCCTCCCGAGAAGCTAGGACTACAAGCGCTTGCCACGAGGCCTGGCTGATTTTTCTATTTTTTGTAGAGATGGGGTCTTGCTCTTGCTCAGGCTGGTCTCAAACTCCTGACCTTGAGCGATCCTCCCACCTGGGCCTCCTAGAGTGCTAGGATTACAGGCGTGAGCCACCACGCCCGGCCAATCTAGACTATTCTTAAGGCTTTCCACTGGGTTTTGTATTTCTTTGAATGAATTTTTTCATTTCCAGAAGCTCTGCTTGATTTTTTTTTAATAATTTGATTTCTTTTTTTTTCTTTTTTGAGACAGAGTCTCACTCTGTAGCTCTGGGTAGAGTGCTGTGGCATCATCACAGCTTACAGCAACCTCAAACTCCTGGGCTCAAGCGATCCTCCTGCCTCCGCCTCCCGAGTAGCTGGGACTACAGGCGTGCACCACCACACCCAGCTAATTTCTTTCCATTTTTAGTAGAGACAGGGTCTCACTCTTGCTCAGGCTGGTCTCGAACTCCTGACTTCAAGCCATCCTCCCACCTCGGCCTTCCAGAGTGCTGGGATTACATCCATGAGCTATTGCACCTGGCCCATATTCGAAATTCTTTATCAGTCATTTCAGTATTCTCGATTTGGTTGGTTTCCATTGGTATGGGATCATTGTTTTCTTTTGGGGGTGTCCTTTCACTGTGATTTTTTCTTTTTTTTTTTTTTACTCAAATGGCAAGGATCAGATCACTGTTATTTTTCATGTGCCCGGAGATCTTTCGCTGATTCCTTCTTATATGGAGCAGGTTTTGCTGCTTATTTTTGGATTTTCTTTTGATTAGATAATGGCACGCCCAGTTTAATCTCTGAGCAAGTGGGTGCTGCTCGTGGGCGAGGATCGACCACACCGTGCATGATGAGTCAGTAGCTGCAGTAAAAGGGTGTGCAAATTGACCTCCCTGTCAGTAGGTGGCGCTTGCCAGAAGGAACAAGCTGCAATGTTGTTTGGGGGTCCTGACCAGCTCTAGTCCCTCAGGAGAAACACCTGATTGCCCCGGGTGGTGGGTGGGGCCCTGGAACTTCAAGTGAGTCCTTGTTCTCTGCCACAGGGGAGCGAGGCTCTCCAGGGAGTGCGGCTGGGCAGGGCTGGGTTGGGGAGCCTGCCCTCAGTCTCCCCCAAAGCTGGCGAGGGATCTGCTTCAGCAGGGGTCAAAGGTCTGCTCCCAGCTTCTAGGAAAAGCCGCCAGGGAGGGGCTACAGTGGCCTCACCCAATCACAAATCTCTCCTTGCATCAGAGCAATGCAATTGAGACCTTGGAGTTTGGGATCTGGCCTGTCCCTGAGTTCCCAAAGATAAATCCCTGACTGTGCCAGGGAGAAGTGCCTGGTCCCGAGTTGCCCACAGGGTGCCCACGCAGGTTCGATGTCCCTCCGCCTCGGGGCGTGCCCTGCGCCGATGGAGTCCCCAGGCCAGGCCGGTGGGCAGGGAGCTCACAGCGCAAGCACCCCCGGTCCGCCGCGGGAGCCCCAGAGGAAAGGCCTGATCTGTGCGGAAGCCTCGCAGTGGAGGCTCAGCTGTCTCTCTTGGCAGCAGCAGGTGGGGTGGGGAAGGGCAGAAGAGTCTGGAAAGGGTCGAGCCCCACTCTCTGTGCAAGCCCCGGTGTGGCGGATGCAGCAACAGAGAGGAGAAGCAGTTCCTGCGAGCCCAGTTCGGTCACCTCTCAGCAGGCACGGCGGGGCAGGGGACGGGGAGCACAAGGGTTTGAGTGGAAGAAAACTCTGGTCGTCTCTGTCCCTCTCTCCGGAAGGCGGCCCACCAGAATGTCCAGACCGTGGGGTCACGCCGATCCCCGGGGCCACCGGCCCGCTGTGGCTCCTGCAGTCTGGGCCCAAGTTGGGAAACGTTTGGGACGGAGCGAGACGAAGAGCGGAGGGCTGAGGCCCGCTGCGGAGGACAGAGGTGCCCGGTGGGTGGAGGAGCACATGGCGCCGCCCTCGCGGCTCGCACCTGCGGTGATTGGAGGTGACCCCAGGGTACCCGCTGCCTGGCGCTTCGTCCTCACGAAGCTCCCAGTTCGCTGGCGGCGGCGGCTGGGCGCCGCTGCCTGCCGGAGACGCGGGCGGGAGCGAGCCGCGCCGCCCCCCTCGCTGGGCTGCAAGACTCTAGGGGCTGCTCTCTGCCAGGGCCCCGCTCCTTCGCGACCGTTCCTAATTCTGGGGCCAGAATTCCACGGTCAAGGTGTCAGCGGGGTTGCTTCCTTCCAGACCTCCCTCCCAGGCTTGCAATGGCTCAGGAGCAGCTCTTCTGTAGAACAAAAGCGGCCTGTCTCCGCGAGGGGCGAGGCACTTCCAGATTTCTCTGCCAGCTATCCCAGCTCCCCGAGCGCCATTCCCTGTCTGCCTGACATTCCAGCATCTTCTAAAATAGCTCAAACCAACCCCTAGCCCTACCCCAGACTACCTCTCTGGAACATTCATCCACTGTGCTCAATGGCAACTTGGCAAAAACCTTGCAAAACCCCAGGGAGCTCCCCTCTCTCCCTGTCCTCCTCATTGGAAAAGAAACATCCAGAAGCCACCTGCATCGTGCACCTCTCCAGCTTCCACCCTCACAGTGATGCTCTTTTCGCCACAGCAGAGGCCTAAAGCTGTTGTAGAGAGGCCACCGCCCCCCCAAGGTGGGTGTGCTCCCTGCCCCAGAAGGGGAATACTGACAGCCGACTTGGCAGCTTGTGCGGAAAAGCCGAAAAGAATGAATGGGCGGGACGCTCCCGCAGACAGGCAGGGGCGGGCCCAGCCCTGAAGATACTACCCTTGCCAGCACAGGAGTCAGCAGCCGGGGAGAGGGACACGGTGTCTGTGAAGCCTTTAGCAAATAATAAGCACCCAGAAGGAAGGAAGGTCTGTCGGGATGGCCCTGGGACAACACTTGGGGACCTTTTGGAGAAAAGAGCAAAGGTGTGTCTTTGTGTCACTTGAGCCCCCAGGGCAAATCTGCCATGCACCAAAAGCGTCAGTGTAGGAATGGGGCTATCCCTGAGCCGGAATGGGAAAGTGTGTCACTGAGGAACCGAGAAAGCTGTTAGACTGTGAGAAGAATCGAGAGGCCACAAAGGTGGATGAAGGACCAAGGCTCATGTTCTAAAGGACCACGGGCAAAGCCAGAAGACAGATGGGCCGCCTGAGCAGGGCTTCTCGCCCCACAGATAAAGACCAGCAACCTGTAGGACTAGGTACCACTCGGCTCTGCAGGCAGGCTGAGCTTCAGTCCCAAGGGAAGAGTGAATTAAAATGACCAAGAGTGACCTCCCTGGGAAAGTTCTAGCTGCTTCTATCGAAGGGTTGCTGGGATGGAGCCCTGCACAAAGCCATGGGGCAGAGGGAGCAGCCGTGCACATCTGGGCTTGTCTCCTGCAAGGGCGCCCAAAAGCAAGAAACTTGAAGGAGCAGCTTGGGGGAACTGTGAGCTTTTCCCACTTTCTGATGTCTCAATGACCGGACCTATTCAAGAACCTTAATACATTTGTATGTAAGCGCGACTGTGGGAGCCGCTTCTACACGGAGACCCAGAGAACATTTGCCAGGGCGGGAGCAGTCCCCGCAGGTGAGAGCGGGCCTGGCCAGCGGCCTCGAGACCAAGATGCCATCTCGGTAGAACAGGGTGCAACTCCAGGGCTGGCAAAGACATCAAGGAGCAGGGGCGGGACCCCGTCGTGTCCAGCAGGGGGGCCCTGGACAGATCCTCAGCGAGATCCCTTCCCCACCAAATCCTGAGTCCTGCTGCTGCCTCTCCCAGGGAAAATGGAATTTTCCTGAGAGCACCAGTGGCCACAGGGAGGGAGATAGGACTGCAGTTTTGGGAAACAGGAGTTGTCAGAGAAGATGGCTTTGCAGTTTGAAGTATGCAGTCCGCTTGGAGGTTAGGGGTCTTTCTCTGGGATCTTAAGCTGCACACTGACCGCGCTGATTAGTTTTAAAACATGGCAACTTGTTTTAAGAACATGGAAGGACAGTAGGAGGCGTCAGAGGAAGGCAGAGGGAAGGGGGTCGGGAGAGCTGGCCAGGGCCACCGGAGCCGAGGACAGTCCTGCGTGGGGCGGGTGGCAGAGGACTCTGCCCGGGAGCAGAGGAGGATCTGTCCCATGTGTCCTGTACACAGGCCTGTCCTGGTGGAGTTAAGTGAGGCCAGGCTGGTGGGTGGCCTTTGCCCTGCAGCGGCCTAGGGAGGAGGCAGGGAACAAGGTGCCAGGGAGCAGGGACGACACGCGGGGTCTTCCGGCCCTTCGGCAGGGGTAGGGTGATCGCGAGGAGGAAACATCAGGCGGGGCCCGGGCCTGATCGGATGAAGGCACCTGGCGGGGTCGTTGAGACGTGAGGACAGGGAGGGCCCGGTGGGGCGTAGGCGCGGCGTGGGGCTCCCCAGCTAACTCGCCGCTTCTGACCCCCAGGAAGCCGCTGCGGAATGGCCTGGTGAAGAACAGGCGCTTCTGATGCCCCGCCCCGCCCCACCACGCCCCCATGGACCCTGCCCCACCCCCGGGACCTCGGCCACGCCCCATCCCCCCGGGACCCTGGCTGCAGCCAGCTCCGCTCCTCCCGGGCCCAGCCATTCCTGGGACCCCGCCCCGCCCCCTCAGGCCCCGCCTCCGGACCGCGGCCACGCCCCCTAAGACCGCGGCCACGCCCCAGCCCACTGGTCGGGGGCCACAGCGACCCCGCGCACTCTCCGGCCATCGCCTGGGAGGAAGATGCCACCGCTGTGCCCACGCCCTGGCCGCCACCTCTTCCTCCTCCTGGCCCTGCTGCTGCCCTGGCCATCCCCGGCCCGCGCTCCTGTGCCCCCGGGCCCCGCCGCCGCCCTGCTCCAGGCTCTCGGGCTGCGCGATGCGCCCCAGGGCGCCCCCACGCTCCGGCCCGTTCCCCCGGTTATGTGGCGCCTGTTCCGCCGCCGCGACCCCCAGGAGACAAGGTCGGGCCTGCGGCGGACGCCTCCAGGGGCTACTCTGCAACCGTGCCACGTGGAGGAGCTGGGGGTCGCCGGAAACATAGTGCGCCACATTCCGGACCGCGGTGAGTAGGGCGGGTCTTCGCTGGGGGCTTTGGTCCCGAAGGCTGAGAGCTCGAGGGGTGAGCCTCGAGCGTGGTAGGGGAGGCAGGAGCGGTCCCGAGAGTCCCCACCCGCCTCGTCCAGGCCCGCTAGCAACCTGGGCCCCCGCATCCCACCCGCTCCCTGTCCTTCGCACACCAGGGACACCCGCCAGGAGGCTACCGAGATCAGGCCCCCTAGCACCGGCAGGGCCCCTTGCTGGCAGCTGCATCCCTGCCCCCACTCCAGCCCCACCCCCACCCGTTTCACACCGTTTGATGCCTTCCTGCGGATGCCACCGCCCCAGCATCCCTTGGCCAGCGGCTCAGGCGCTCCTCGCTCAAACCCGCCCTCCGCACCCCCGCCTGTGTCCCCAGGGGAGGGCAGCCACCTCTCCGCACCCCGCAGGGCCCCTTCCTTTCAACTCATGCTCTGCCCCAACCCCATCACCCCACCCCAGCGCTTCACACTATTTGACGCCTTCCAACAGATCTGTGCCCCCAGCCCCAGGCGCTCACCTTCCTCCCTGTCCCCAACCGAGACCCCATCGCGGGCAGGCTGGGCACTGGGCGGGGACGCAGCGCCAGCGGAGTCCTCTTCCTGCCTCTCCAGGTGCGGCCGCCCGGCCCCCGGAGCCCGCCTCGGCCGCGGCGCAGTGCCCCGAGTGGGCCGTCGTCTTCGACCTGTCGGCTGTGGAACCCGCCGAGCGCCCGAGCCGGGCTCGCCTGGAGTTGCGCTTCGCGGCGGCGGCGGCGGCGGCGGCCCCGGCGAGCGGCTGGGAGCTGAGCGTGGCGCGGGCTGGTGAGGCCGCGGGCCCGGACCCCGGGGCGGTGCTGCTCCGCCAGGCGGTGCCCGCCCTGGAGTCGCCGGTGCGCGCCGAGCTGCTGGGCGCCGCCTGGGCCCCTAACGCCTCGGTGCCGCGCAGCCTCCGCCTGGCGCTGGCGCTGCGTCCGCGGGCCCCTGCCGCCTGCGCGCGCCTGGCCGAGGCCTCTCTGCTTTTGGTGACCCTCGACCCGCGCCTGTGCCACCCTCTGGCCCGGCCCCGGCGCAAGGCCGAACCTGTGGCGGGCGGCGGCCTCGGGGGCGCGTGTCGCGCGCGGCGGCTCTACGTGAGCTTCCGCGAGGTGGGCTGGCACCGCTGGGTCATCGCGCCGCGCGGCTTCCTGGCCAACTACTGCCAGGGCCAGTGCGCGCTGCCCGCTGCTCTGTCTGGCCCCGGCGGGCCCCCGGCGCTCAACCACGCCGTGCTGCGCGCGCTCATGCACGCGGCCACCCCGCGCGCCGGTGGCCTGCCCTGCTGCGTGCCCGCGCGCCTGTCGCCTATCTCCATGCTCTTCTTCGACAACAGCGACAACGTGGTGCTGCGGCACTATGAGGACATGGTGGTGGACGAGTGCGGCTGCCGCTGACCAGGGGTGGGGGGCGTGGAACCAACAATAAACACTGCGTGGTCTGCTCCCCTGGGCTCCTTGGCTCTTGTCTCCTGGGGGTGGGGAGGACTCGTCCTCGACGTGGCCCTAGCACACCCCCCGCCCCCATCCCGCCCAACATCCAATGGCCATAGGCGAGCGGCCGCAGGCCCAGGCACTGCTCACTCCCGGGAGGGGTCCAGCAGCTCTGGCTTTCCTGGGCTTTTGCCATTAGCGGTGGCCTCAGCCGCCTCCACACCCGACACCACCCTCCAACCAATGCCCTCCCCACCCTGCAGTGCATTCAGCTGCCACGAGAAGGCAAGAACTGTTTATTAATATTTTATTGGTGACAAAAGAGCTTAAAACAAATAGACCAAAAATCAAAAGTTATGCTGCCTGGTACAGATGCTCCATTTGTAAAACTGACGCTGCTCAGGGTGGAGAACACAGCGAAGGGCACAGGCAGGGGCAAAGCCGTCCCCACCCGGCGGGCGGGCGGGCACAGGGTCACAGCGGGAAGCGCCCCACATGGATGCCTCTAGGCGGCTACCAAAAGAAGGGGAAACCGAAAGCCCTACAGCAATGGCAATAAATAAGTCCTTGCCAGAAGGAAGGTGGCCTGGCGTCCCCGTCTGTCCCGTGTAGAAGCTGGAATCTGGAGGCTTTGGGAGGGGCGGGCAGGGGTGGGATCACTAGGGAGGACACCCCAACCCAGTGTGCAAGGAGCTGGGGCGACTCTCTTCGCTAAAACGCAGATGCAGGCAGAGGTCTCCTCTGCCAGCCAACGGCAAACGCCTCCAACCCCCGCAGCACAGAACCGACTCATTGCTGACCCGTCCCTTCTGCCCCAAAGGCAGAGACCACCCAGGTCAGCGGCGCTGTGCAGGCAGGTGGAGGCTCCACACTTAAGGGTGGGGACTCAGTGCCTCCTGGGGACGGGGACAGGCCCTCTTGGCTGCTGCTTTCCATCAAATCCTCAGAAGGACCCTGGGGAAAAAGCCACCGGCCTGGGAATGGCCACCCTCCTGCCCCCTGGCCTCACGGCCGGTCCTGGCCAAGGCCCCTTCCAGTGGGGCCGTGGGCACCTTCCTCCCGGGCAGCCGAGCCCCGCGCGGAGTCCGCTGCAGGAAGCAGCTTTGCTCCTCAGAGTCCAGCGGAGATCGCAAATCGTGCGGCGTCCGGGTTCGGCCAGGTGGCTCCCGCACAGACCTGTCGCCCTGCAGCAACCGCCGGCAGGAAGCTAAGACCTAGAACAAAAATCCTCCTCGAGACCACGTCACAGGTGTTGATCCTAGTCTCCAGCTGCGCTGACTTGTTTAAACTTCGTTTCTGGAAGCTTCTCGCATCTCCCAGGTCCACCACTAAGATTTCAGAGACAAACTTAGGAAAATATTTTTCAGTACTCCTTTGAAAGAATCTTTAAAAAAACAAACAGAAAAACCCCAAACACCGTATTTTCTTAAATGAAAACCCTCTTAGAACACAGGCATCGCGACCTTGCGGTTCCGGCGGCTGGACAGATGCCGCTCTCCCCACCCGGGCTCTGCCCGGCACGGCCGCCTGCAAGCCTGCTCGGGCACAGAAAGGCGAAGTTTTTTCCTGCTAAAACGTAGTCCCCTTTCAATAAAAAGAGAAAAAGAAAAGAACAGAGGAAAGGGCTACTCTGAGATGAGGGTCTTCCTCCCTCCGCCCTGGCCACAGCCCCAGGTTGGACGCAAGCGCGGGGCCTCCTCGGCGCGGGCTGGGCAGGACTCCGGGCTCCGGCGGGCCGGCCCTCGCCGCTGCCTTCTGCTCCTTGCGGCCGGGGCAGCAGGGCGCGCTCAGCTGGGCTCCTCCTCTCCCTCGCTCGGCCTCTCCCTCTCCTGTTGCTCACACAGTGGTGCTTCAGTTTTAGCAGTGGAAAACAGGTATCCGTTTATTTTTATTTTTTATTACCCAGAATAAGATGCTGATGGACTAAGCCACGTAGCTTAGCTCTTCCGCCACCACCTGTGGAGGGAGAAGGGCAGGCAGCCGTGAGGGCCAGCGGACAGAGCTCTCGGGGTCCTCCCTGGCGGGGACAGCGCCCTACGTTGACCCGTGGCAGTGCCCCCGTGGCCTGGCACACAGGCAGGGTGGGGAGCCCAAGCCCACCCTTGAGCCACTGTGATGAAGAAACTGAGGCCCGTGGGGGAAACAGGCGGTGGAGCCCGGTAGGTGTCCTGAACCCCCATCCAGTGAGCGAGGCTGCTGTGGTGGGCACCGTCCCCCCTGCCCACAGAGGTAGCCACGAGGCCACCACATCCCTTTCCCCAGGGAGCCCCAGGGTTTTTCTCTACAGAACAGCAGGCTGTGGCCCTGGCAGATGGGCCCTGACCCAAACTGAGGGTCACGGGACAAGCTGTCCCCTTGGGCATAAGACTCCCACAGCACAGGAGTCCAGCCCCCCGGGGAAGACCCCACACCCCCAGTGGCTCCCATCCCTTTTCTTGGGAGGGCGGGGCCCAGGCCCGCTGCAGGGTGGCCTTGCCTTCTAGTACTGGGACAGCCCCGTCACCCCGCCATGCTGGTACGCCCGCTCTCCCTGGTACGTGGAGTCTTGGGAGAGCGCCACGTCGATCTGTGACTTAAACTCATCGCCGAGGTAGCTGTCCTGAAAGACAGGGTGGTCAGGGACGTGAGCAAGCCACAGTCCAAGGGCGCTCACGTCCACTGGGCCCCTCGCCAGCCCCGAAAACCCCGTCCTCAAGCCTAAGTAGCGGGAGACCCACCCCACTCACCCTAGCACGGGGACCAGCAACCCAGACGGGGGACGTGAGCCAGACCAGCTGCCCAGGACCCATCAGAAGGGCAGCACCATGGATGGAATGTTCCAGACTTACAGCCCCACCCACCGAGGGAGGTGCCATGGGCTCTGGTGTGGGGACTGGAGGCTCACCTGGGACAGCTCCGGCTGGGAGAGGCCGGGCTGGCTCATCTGGGAGGGCTGGCTCATGGAGATATAGCCCTGCGTCAGGGCACCCTGGGAGAAGGGCTGGGACGCCACGTCCTGGCTGGCCTGGCTGTTGGGGAGGGTTGTCTGGCTGGGCCCAGGAAGCCCGAAGCGGTTCTTCTGGCGCCCCCCACGCCCAGTCTTGCCTTTCGGAGTGCCCCGGCCTGAAAGACACAGTCCAGGGCTGTCTGAGGAGGCCTGAGCCTCACAGACAAGCACGACCTTAGCCAGAGGCAGAGGGCAGCCCTGGGGGGGCAAGGAGGCCGGGCCCCCGGGGCAGGCCACACGCCCAGCAGCGACCACAGGGCTGAGGCTTGGCGGGGAAGCAGCTGCTCAGACCCTGATACGTGCAACCCACAGGGCCAGCTCGCTCTGCCCGTACAGCACCGGGGCGCCCACCTGCAGCCGGCCCGTTGGCTTGTCCGAAGTAGCCGGGCGGCGGCATGGGCGGCATGACCAGGTTGAAAGGGATGGGGATGTTCATGGCGGCCACGTGGCTGGGGCCGGCGCTGATCATGCCGATCTGGTCGTGGGTCTGGAAGTACATGTTCGAGGGCCGGCCTGCAAGACACAGCGGATGGTGGGTGTCACCTGAGGCTGGTGCCCAGCATGTGTCCTTTCTCCCCAGGAGGCTGCTGAGAATCAGGGACCTATAGGAATGTCAAAAATTGAAAACCATGCTGCATTTACAAAAACAAATCCTTTTGACGGAAAATTTTATATTCGTACTCATGCAACCTCTACCGCCAAACAACCAGAAAACATCTGAGATCCATCTTGAGGAAACTCGATCTAACAGACCCTGGCTAAAGGCAGACGAGGCCCCAGGTGCGGCCAGGCCTGGAGATGCCCTCAGAGGGAGGGAAGGGGCCGCGTCAAAGACCAGAGGGCAGTGGCCAGGTGAAATAACTGGGCCACGGCTTGTCACCGTGAGGGCAGCAAGGCTTCGCAGTGACCAGTGCGCCAGCCTGAGCCAGGCTCATAGAGGGCTGGGCAACAAGGGACGGTCCCCGGACACCCCCAGCTACACGATGACTTGCTGGCTGTGCGCAGGCAGAGATTTTGTTGTTGAAGAACACAAACCACAGTCTGAACCCAGCAACCAGAATACCGGGGCCCGGCAAGGGGCCTGCCCAACTGGCCTCGAGCATTTGCTGGGCTCGGTGCTGCCTTTGGGGAAGGCGCCCGGAGGCAGGGCACAGCTCGGCCCTGGTGCACACAGAGACTCCACGCGGGCTCCAAGGCCTCCCGGCCTCCCCGCAGAAGAGCACATGGAGCTTCGAAGAGGTGGCGGAAACTGAGGGGAGCTGCACCCGCCTGGGGCTGGGGTGGGACCTGCGGGTAAGGAGCGAGGGAGGCAGGTGCCCGCGCCTGAGGAAGCGCTGGGTCAGACGGCACCACTGTCTTGCTGGGAAAAGCGCCCTGTTTCAGAAACCAGCAAGGAAGTTATTTGATCTCAAATAAGGCACGCTGTCCAGCAGGCTGCTGAGGACTGAGGCTGTGTGGCCACCCAGGAGCAACAGAATCACAGCTGCCGGCGTGGGAACGGCCAACACCTCGGCGCGGGGGACGCGGGCGGCCCAGCCCCGCGGGGCACTCACCCTGGCTGCTGCGATCGTAGACTGAGCCTGGGATGATGGCCTCCCGCGCGTCGTACATGGCTGTCGTCATGAAGCGGGCCCCCTGCACAGGTTTCAGGTAGGTGAGGAATTCGTCAGCAACACGGGAAGAACTTCCCACACACTGGTGGTGAGTGGCAGGTGTGCAGCTCTCAGGTGTGGACACTGGGCTGGGCTCAGCAGGGGCGGGGGCTCTGGGCCTTAGCTGCCCCCATGGCCAACTGGGTCCCGGCGATGACCACCTCGATCCGTCGCTCTGGCCCAGGCAGAGGCACGCCCCTCCATCACCCAGCGCACCCTGGGCTCCCCGAGCAGCCTAACTGCTGTGTCTGTGTCCCCACCTGCTGCGGCACAGCAGCCCAAGTCTGACTCCCTGAGGCCGCCATGACACACCAGCCCATGAATCACGCCAGGTGTGGGGCATGGGGGACTCGCTCCCAAGCCCCTCCTCCAGG